GCCAAATCCAAGATGGCCGCCAAATCCAAGATGGCCGCCAAATCCAAGATGGCCGCCAAATCCAAGATGGCCGCCGTCAAGCTTATTTAGATATTTAGATATGTATTAGGCACCATTTTCCACAGAAAAGCAAATAAATTCCAAATACTAGATACTTAAATTATTTAACATTATTTTCATGCGTAAAATCTTTTTATAAAAGCAATAAAACCCATTTACAAGGGGGCAGCTCTTCGTATAAAAAAGGACCGTAAAAGACACTGGAAATGATTTTTATTGCTTAACTAAAATGTGTTTCTTGCGGGCTTTATAAAAGTTAGCCAGTGTATCATACCGCAGCTCTTCCTTGACGAAACACATTCCCTTTTTTTCTTTCAGATGGGGCAAAATTTGATATGTTTGCAATACTCGTAATTCTACTTATAAATCTAGAAGAAATTAAAGTTCACGTCAGATATCGTCATCAGCAGCAGCATCCAAATCCTCACGATCGTCTCGCGGAGAGTTTAGGCACGCAATGCCCTTACATTGGCCGCACGCTGGAGTGCACTGAAGACCGTTTATGAAGCAGGTGCAAGATCGTGTATCACATCTACCTCCACAATTACATCTTATGTTTCGCAGGAGCTGCATGCGCTGGGGCTGCTGGCTCTGACATCTGCACAGGAACAAGGCCTGTTGAGGATCTCGCCCATCCCCACTCCTCAGGAGGAATATCGTTCCCTTTCCATGCTTGTACCTGGAGAAAGACACTTGTGACTGTGAAATCGGGCAGCGTCTAATGTCGGCGGAAGCTTCTCTGGTGGTACATATCCAGCTGCTGTGGCCACTTTCGTTTGAAATCTTTGGGGCCTTGCAGTTTTCAAATCATCTACTTGGCTTCCATACATGATGAGTAGGGCTCTTTCGCCAGCTGTTTCTAGGGCCACTTTTGAAGACTCGCTTGCCATAAACGTTGCAGCACTTTCTGCCAGGGCAGCATATTTCTTCAGATCCCCCACTTTCCCGATTCCATGTGGCCTTGAGGTCGTATCACAGCCGCTAACATCATGGAGAAAAAGAAGTGACTCTGACAGCTTA